CAGGATGGTCTCGATCAAGCTTGACCTCGTGATCCACCTGCCTCGTGATCCACCCACCTCGGTCTCCCAAAGTGCTGGGATTACAGGCGTGAGCCACCGTGCCCAGCTAATAACAAACATTTTAAAAGTGCAGGGTGGGGAAGTTGTAGAGGCCTTACGTGCTGGATGCTGGGCTGTGCTTGCTTGGGTGACTATCCCCAGGAGTAGGGAGGAGAGTGGGAAGGAAAGGACACTTATTATGTATCTACTGGGCGCTGGGCTGGCCATTTGCTTGAGAATGTGCAGCGAGGCCATGTCCAGGAAGCGAGAACTGTCTCCCCAGCAGAGCTGGCTGAACAGACAAAGAAATAGGCATCCTGGGCTAGGTAAGCCCCCCTGTCCCTGAGGTGCACAGGTGGGGACTAGGTGACCCATCAGGCCCTGGGGCAGGGACTCACTCTCTGGGGACATCTCCCTTGAAGGCCAGGAACTCATTTCCTTGAAGGCAAAGGAGGGGGCGGTTCCCATGTTACTAGTGGAGACACTGAGGCTCAGCTAGTTGGCCAGGGGTCACACAGTGAGATGGGTAAGGACTCAGGCTTTCTGCCTAGCTCAGGGCTCTCTCAAGCTGGCAGCTGCCCCCACAGCATTGAAGAATCTGCCATAAATCCTTCAGAAGTCCAGGACATTTGGACAAACCGGAGCGGGACACACCTGGCAGAGCAGACAGTCCCTGCCTCAGCCTGGACCCTGCGTTCCATTTCCCTCCTGGTGGGGCGGACGGCCAGGCCGGTTTGGCTCTTGGTGGGGCAGGGGGCCTGCAGGACCCCACCCTGGGGTCGGGCTTTATTCAATCTGGCCGCCCAGGGAGGAGGGAGGCGACCCCGCCCGCCTAAGCACGCCCCTGCGCTCCCCAGATGTTCGTGGTAGCCGAGGCCGATGCGGGCTCCTGCCTTTTGCACGAGTTCACCATCTCGGGTACCACGTATACCCCCGAGGGCGAAGTGTGAGTGCGGGGCCAGGGGATTGGCGGGGCGGGCGGCCTGGGGGCGGGGCCGAGGTGTCCATGGGAGGCCCCTGGGGGCGGGGCCAGGAGGCGGAGCCCCTCCGGGGGCGGGGCCAGGAGGCGGAGCCCCTCCGGGGGCGGGGCCAGGGGCGGAGCCCCTCCCGGGGGCGGGGCCGAGGTCCTCGTGGTGACCGCCCCGGCTCCACAGGCGGCAGGGGAATCTGCCTGTGCGCTGTGGCCAGTTCGATGGGCTGGTGGAGCTGGCGACCATCTGCGCCCTGTGCAACGACTCGGCGCTGGATTACAATGAGGTGGGCCCCACCCCCTTTCATGACCTCCCTAGTATGCTGGCCACCAGGACAGACCCTTTTCCCAGCCTCAAAGCTCCCAGGGTTGGCAGCCCTTGCACCCTGGAAGTGCCACACCCAGGGAGCACGGTTACCCCTGCCCACTACTCTCTGCCGCCCCTCCCTTTCCTCAGACAGGCTTCAGAACCCTCCCCCAGAGCTCTTGGGCCGTGGGGGACTACCATGGAAGGGGCTGAAGGGCTGGGGAAACCTGTGGAGGAAAAAGATTTGGGGAACAGGACTAAGAAAATGTTTAAAGCAGAAAGCACAGCCCACAAAAGGCCCACATTCAGTTAAAGCCTCCTGCGACTTAGGCATTGACTGCTGTTCATGTGGCTGGGGCAGTGGAATGGGGCATGCAGCAGGCATCTGCCCAAGGGAAGATCCTTGGCCAGACCCAGTCCGAGGCCAAGCTGAGGGCAGTAGAGCACCACCGAAGAGTTCTGAGCAGGACAGTGACATGGTCAGATGTGCATTTACAGAAGATCACCGAGGCTTCCGTGTGGAGGACAGACAGACAGGAGAGGACTGAAGTCAGGGAGGTCTCTGTGGTCAATCAGGCTAGAGAGATGCAGGCTGAGCCCTGGCTGGAGCCTCGGGGAGAGGGGAGAAGGCACGGGTCAGAGATATTTAGGAGCTGAAAATCCTGGGACTTGGTGACTGGTTAGGTGGAAGAGAGAGGGAGGAGGCCAGGGTGGCTCCTGTTGGCTCTGTTGGCTGGGGCTGCCACTGGAGTGGCAAATACAGAGAGCGGGAGAGGTGGCCTGAGGGGTCCCCAGGGAACAAGGTTCAGCAGGCAGCTGGATATGTGGGCTTGGGGCTCAGCAGAGGGCCCCAGGGAGAGCAGGTGGGAGGGCGGAAGCAGGCCCAGACAGCAGAAACCGGTGAAGGAGGCTGACAGGAAGTGGACAGAGATACAGGCGGAGGGCAAGGAAGGTGTGTGGCGATCAATGCCAGGGTGGGGGGCTGAATGTCAGTGTCAGACACCACCGCAACCGCAGGGCAGCCAGGCTCGGAAGGGCTCACAGACCTGTGTAAAGGAGATTACACAGAACTTCAGCAAAGGCAGCTTCAGGGGCAAGGAGTGAGTGAGGCTGGGGGCACAGGCTGGAGGCTGCCTGTTCCTCACTCCCTATGCCCTGGGTCCTCGCCAGGCCAAAGGTGTGTACGAGAAGGTGGGAGAAGCCACGGAGACAGCTCTGACGTGCCTGGTGGAGAAGATGAACGTGTTTGACACCGACCTGCAGGCCCTGTCCTGGGTGGAGCGAGCTGGCGCCTGTAACGCGGTGAGCAGGGCTGGGGGCTCAGGCCTCCAGCTGCATGGCTGGGGTTTCTGGGACATCTGGAGAAGGCAGAGAGGACAGTGAAGTCTTTTTTCTTTCTTTTTTTTTGAGACAGAGTCTTGTTCTGTCGCCCAGGCTGGAGTACAGTGGTGCAGTCCTGGCTCACTGCAACCTCCGCCTCCCGGGTTCAAGTGATTCTTGTGCCTCAATCTCCCGGCGTGTGCCACTGCACCTGGCTAATTTTTGCATTTTTTAGTAGACAGGATTTCACCATGTTGTCCAGGCTAGTCTCAAACTCCCGACCTCGGGTGATCTGCCCACCTCGGCCTTGCAGTGTGCTGGGATTGGGATTACAGGCGTGAGCCACCGCTCCCGGCTGACAGTGAAGACAGACTTGGAGAAAAGCGGGGAGAAGGCTGAGTGTGGACAAGGGTTTGGAGTTAGTCTGTACACAGCATGGTCAGGAAATGGCAGCGTATTGCCATTTCTGGGGCTGGAGAGAGAAATGGAGGCCTTGAATGGCAGCATCAGAGGAGCACAGATGTTATCCCAGGCAGAGCAGGAGATTCTTTTGGGGACAAGCAGCTGGTGGGAAGGCAGGTGAGAGTCGCTGGCTCTGTCCTTCATGCCCTGACCTGCCTGGACCCCGCAGGTCATCAAGCAGCTGATGCGGAAAGAGTTCACCCTGGAGTTCTCCCGAGACCGGAAGTCCATGTCCGTCTACTGCACACCCACCCGCCCTCACCCTGCCGGCCAGGGCAGCAAGATGTTTGTGAAGGTGGGGGCCTGTCTGGCCTGGGCCCCTGCGCACCCTGGGGCACCTGGTCATCCACGCTCCTCTGTGAGCCCCAGTCTCCCCGTGTGAATGACAGGGTTGGGTTAGAAGTTCTCAGGAGCCCCTTTTGCCTCTAACCGGTGGTGTGGGGGTGGTTAGTGCCACCCTTGGTGCTCCGTGTTTCGGAAACTGAGTCCCAGGGAGGGAAAGGAATCAACTCCCGTGCAGACCATTGTCTGCACCGTCTCCATTGCTGCTCCCAAACCTGGAGGGGGAAAATACAGCTCTAGCTACACCCTGCAAGGAAGGTTTAAACCCCTTTTGAAATGAAAAGGCTTCTGTACTGAGAGCTTCGGCCACTTGGAAAAGTTAGTGTCTGGGTGACCTTTTAGGAGCAGGAGAAGCCATTGAAGGAGCTTTAGAGACTGTTTCTAGGCCCGGGGTGAGGTCGGAGGTGAGACCTGAGGCCACTGAGGGGCCTGTCACCCCTGGGCCCCCTTCCCAGGGCTATGCCTGCCACACCCTGTGCGTGGCTCTATTTCTGGTCCCCAGGCAGGGTTCAGCCTGCCTCCCTGCTGCTAAGGCCCCTAACAAATTGGAACCCGAGTAGCACCAGGGAGGCAGGGCCTGCAGGAGATGCTGTTCCCACCCCTGCCTGCAAAACACAGCAGTGCCCGGGTCGGCTGTGGGCTGGTGGGGGAAGGGCCTCGCTAGGTGTGTGGCTGCCCCCACCCCAGCACTCCCCCCATTCCCTTTAGATTGTCTCACAGGGGGACCCACTTGGTTCTCACTCTGAACTTTCAAAGAACGGATTCTGGTCCCTGCCTTGTGTGTGTAGCCTTGGGTGGCCTTTCCCCATGTCTTAGTCTCCGTTTCCTGAGTTTGGGCAGGAGGGAGGGGAGGGGTCCTGACTGACGAGTTGCCTCCTCTCCCTCTCCCTGCCTCGCAGGGGGCCCCTGAGAGTGTGATCGAGCGCTGTAGCTCAGTCCGCGTGGGGAGCCACACAGCACCCCTGACCCCCGCCTCCAGGGAGCAGATCCTGGCAAAGATCCGGGATTGGGGCTCAGGCTCAGACACGCTGCGCTGCCTGGCACTGGCCACCCGGGACGTGCCCCCGAGGAAGGAGGACATGGAGCTGGACGACTGCAGCAAGTTTGTGCAGTACGAGGTGGGTGCGGGAGCCGAGTCTCCCCGCAGTACGGGGCGGGTGCGGGAGCGGATTCTCCCCGCAG